TTTTTTTTTTTTTTTTTTATATGTCATCCACGTGAAGATTAAAATATTCACGAGAAATAAATTCCTCGTGGATCATGATTTGACTTCAAAAAATTGTTAAAATTTAAACTCAAGACGTCTGAATTTACAACTGTTAACACTTAAAACTACTCTTAAGTTCTTCTCCACCTCTTCTTAGAGAGAGAGAGAGAGAGAGTGGGGGAGAGAGAGAAAGTCAATTCCTTTTTAACTTGTTCACCAATGGCACTATGCCAGAATTTGTATAATATTCAGCCCACTTGAGGTTCAAAATTGAGAACCTGTTGCCAACCTGTTAGCCATTTCTCCAAGGCCGACGTTACTTGCTACCATCAGAGTGCAACGTAAACCCTATACTTCATTGACCTTTTCTGGAGAAAACCCAATAATCAGGCCAAGTTAATGAATACGAGATTCAACAGAGGAGCTATTGATAACACCGAGGTGACAACATCGTCCCTATAACAGTTTGGCAGGGGCAAAACCAAAAATTCAAACTAGGAAAACCAATTCGGAGTGGAACACAAAACCATATGGGAGTTAAAGGGAACACACTGAAAAAATCATCTACAGTTCAAGGGGGGTCAAGTTGAAAATATTTCTAAATTAACCAAAAAAATTAATGGGTGAGAATGTAATTTTCAAAACTTAGTCACTTCACGGCCGAGTCAGAGTAGTAATAGTCAGGCCAATGTAATTCTGCAACTCAAGGGAAACCATATTGGAGCATAAGAGGCTATATGTCCTAATGTGCTTCCGATTTGCCATGGTTGTGCTCCAGTCCCCCATTTTTATCCAGTCCGCTAGGTAAAATTGTGTGCATTTGACCCTTTTCAGACATTGCAATGATAGAAGTCTCATACTGTCATACAAAATTTAACCATGTTAAACGATATGTGCAGCCAGCAAACTAGGCATTTAGTATTGGAAGGGGAAATTTTTCAACACCCACTAATGGCATCATCCAACATGGAGAGATTCTTCAAATGTCTTCAACCTTATAAAACTCAATTAGCTATTGAATTCGGTGCATTTAGGAATCGAAAGAATTCAATGCCCCAAGAAGTAGATATAACATACACTTCAAAACTCAAACAAAAAACGATCTTATCCAAGACATCTTCTGGTCTAATAATCCAATTTCTGACAAAACACCTCCACTTTAGACCATACTAACCACTCCCAAGGATAACAACCAAATCTGTATTTGGATGTGCAAAAGATCATACTAGAAAAGCAGCCAATAAATTACTAATACATTGATTACTGCAAGCAGTTTCTATCACTTGAAAATAACATTTTACCCAGAAACCTTTATGCCTCATTCACAACTCACTTTTCTAAACGGATGTGTTCTTACTGTAAAGCCAGTAACTAAAAGGCCCTAGTCCCTAATCGTAAGATTCTATCAAAACGATAAATTAATCACCTCGCCACAGGGGGTTTCTGTTACCTTACATATTCTTTTTGCCATCAGAATGGGGAAGGCTCTGGTCAATTGACTGCAACTGATTTCGAAGGTTTTGATTCTCCTCCAGCAAGTGGTCATATTCAAGAAGGAATCCTGCAGATTGATTTTTAAAAGCCAGTGAATTGGATTCAGCAGCCTTCACCTCTTTGTCTTTTGTCTCACATTCAGATTCCAGCTTCTTGATCTTTGTCTTCAATGTGGAAATCTCCTCACCAACGGCTTTGAGCTCATCTGCACTGCCATTCTTACTATCCTCAAAACCTCGGTTCTGTTTCTTTGCAGCCTCCATAGTTTTCCTGAGTAAGCGTAATTCCCTTATGTAATGGTGTAGCTTATCTATCATGAATGAGAGGAATAGCGAGAATCCTGCTTTAATGAATTCCTTCGAATTAAATTCCTCAAAAAGAAAAGGTTATCAGAAACATTACATCAGATAACTTTTTATTTTGAAAAATCATCAGATACTGAATGCAGGAAGTTTCTTATTTTATTTGGGGTTCAACATTAAAAATATGCACCAAAGTAAATCCTAGGTGGGCTACTCAAATCCCAATTCTTAAATTAGTAAAGTGACTGGTTCAAAAAAATATTGTACCCCTAATAGAAGTGTCCTTGACATGGCTGAATAAAAAAACAACACTTGTTCCCAATACTCGTTGGACTTCGACATTGTCAAAATTGTCCATATTACGCTTAGGAAAAAACAATGACTATTGCTCCAAAAAATCATGTGACTTTGACATTACCAACTGATGTGGGAAAAAATCGGCTAGCACCATCGGGAAAGCACTGATGTAAACAGTCCAGTACAAAAGTTACCGTTGGGAAGCCTGCCAATCTCCAGCCTGAATGGGAAAAGCTTTGAGTTGCGCTAATCCTAGTAATCAGCTTCACCCCACGTGACTAACTCTTAAATGAAAACCGAAAGATAAGATTATTTATTATTCAAAAATCAAAAGACTTCTCAGGCAAATCCAGAGCTTCTATTTGGAGGGAAAGGAATTAAGACCTCTAGTCCCAGAGAAGTCTTCACCTTCCTATCAGCACAAGGAGTTCAAGATTCCACAAGAAAAAGGAGTCTCGTTTGCCTGAAAGCATAACCAGGGAGTTCAGACTCCTTTGACAAAAGGAGTCTAACCTCCCAACAATGAATAAGAGAGCCTATGGTCTACTCCCTTAAGGTAACTATTCCCAGACCATAAAAGAAGCTTGGGGAGGGGGAATAAGAATGGTACACAACTCTGACCCCAATTGTCAATCTCTACCTTCTTTACCAGAATACTGACTTAAGCATCAGAAAGTCAACCCCCAGATCTCCCCCTCCGGTCTTCGACATCTTTACAGGATTTTCAGAGCTCCAAAATGCTTACCTGAACCCTCAGAGAGCTGATGTGGACCATTGGAAGGCCGACTTGAAGGTCAACAGAGTTCAACTCAGCTTTCGTGCAGGTTGGTGCAAATTCTGCACCAACACCAACTATCTTCACTTTGAGATTTCCAAGTATACATCAGATCAAATGCTGGAAGTGAAAAACTGATGCAAATCGTCATCACTTGTACAACAATTGATAGTGAACAAAAGCACCACTGTTCATATAATGGGACATTCAAAGCCCGAGTCTTGAATATTACTGATACTCTGTTCTAAAGACATTACATACAACCAAAACAATCTGTCCTGGACATGCAAAGTAGAAAACCATGAGGCGTTTAAGTTGTGGTCCAACAAAAGATGAAAATAGGACAAAGAAACTTCCTGAATATGTTTGAAGACCATTGAGAATATTAAATCAAACACCTTAAACTACACATTTCCAACCCTGTTTTCCAANATCGAAAGAATTCAATGCCCCAAGAAGTAGATATAACATACACTTCAAAACTCAAACAAAAAACGATCTTATCCAAGACATCTTCTGGTCTAATAATCCAATTTCTGACAAAACACCTCCACTTTAGACCATACTAACCACTCCCAAGGATAACAACCAAATCTGTATTTGGATGTGCAAAAGATCATACTAGAAAAGCAGCCAATAAATTACTAATACATTGATTACTGCAAGCAGTTTCTATCACTTGAAAATAACATTTTACCCAGAAACCTTTATGCCTCATTCACAACTCACTTTTCTAAACGGATGTGTTCTTACTGTAAAGCCAGTAACTAAAAGGCCCTAGTCCCTAATCGTAAGATTCTATCAAAACGATAAATTAATCACCTCGCCACAGGGGGTTTCTGTTACCTTACATATTCTTTTTGCCATCAGAATGGGGAAGGCTCTGGTCAATTGACTGCAACTGATTTCGAAGGTTTTGATTCTCCTCCAGCAAGTGGTCATATTCAAGAAGGAATCCTGCAGATTGATTTTTAAAAGCCAGTGAATTGGATTCAGCAGCCTTCACCTCTTTGTCTTTTGTCTCACATTCAGATTCCAGCTTCTTGATCTTTGTCTTCAATGTGGAAATCTCCTCACCAACGGCTTTGAGCTCATCTGCACTGCCATTCTTACTATCCTCAAAACCTCGGTTCTGTTTCTTTGCAGCCTCCATAGTTTTCCTGAGTAAGCGTAATTCCCTTATGTAATGGTGTAGCTTATCTATCATGAATGAGAGGAATAGCGAGAATCCTGCTTTAATGAATTCCTTCGAATTAAATTCCTCAAAAAGAAAAGGTTATCAGAAACATTACATCAGATAACTTTTTATTTTGAAAAATCATCAGATACTGAATGCAGGAAGTTTCTTATTTTATTTGGGGTTCAACATTAAAAATATGCACCAAAGTAAATCCTAGGTGGGCTACTCAAATCCCAATTCTTAAATTAGTAAAGTGACTGGTTCAAAAAAATATTGTACCCCTAATAGAAGTGTCCTTGACATGGCTGAATAAAAAAACAACACTTGTTCCCAATACTCGTTGGACTTCGACATTGTCAAAATTGTCCATATTACGCTTAGGAAAAAACAATGACTATTGCTCCAAAAAATCATGTGACTTTGACATTACCAACTGATGTGGGAAAAAATCGGCTAGCACCATCGGGAAAGCACTGATGTAAACAGTCCAGTACAAAAGTTACCGTTGGGAAGCCTGCCAATCTCCAGCCTGAATGGGAAAAGCTTTGAGTTGCGCTAATCCTAGTAATCAGCTTCACCCCACGTGACTAACTCTTAAATGAAAACCGAAAGATAAGATTATTTATTATTCAAAAATCAAAAGACTTCTCAGGCAAATCCAGAGCTTCTATTTGGAGGGAAAGGAATTAAGACCTCTAGTCCCAGAGAAGTCTTCACCTTCCTATCAGCACAAGGAGTTCAAGATTCCACAAGAAAAAGGAGTCTCGTTTGCCTGAAAGCATAACCAGGGAGTTCAGACTCCTTTGACAAAAGGAGTCTAACCTCCCAACAATGAATAAGAGAGCCTATGGTCTACTCCCTTAAGGTAACTATTCCCAGACTATAAAAGAAGCTTGGGGAGGGGGAATAAGAATGGTACACAACTCTGACCCCAATTGTCAATCTCTACCTTCTTTACCAGAATACTGACTTAAGCATCAGAAAGTCAACCCCCAGATCTCCCCCTCCGGTCTTCGACATCTTTACAGGATTTTCAGAGCTCCAAAATGCTTACCTGAACCCTCAGAGAGCTGATGTGGACCATTGGAAGGTCGACTTGAAGGTCAACAGAGTTCAACTCAGCTTTCGTGCAGGTTGGTGCAAATTCTGCACCAACACCAACTATCTTCACTTTGAGATTTCCAAGTATACATCAGATCAAATGCTGGAAGTGAAAAACTGATGCAAATCTTCATCACTTGTACAACAATTGATAGTGAACAAAAGCACCACTGTTCATATAATGGGACATTCAAAGCCCGAGTCTTGAATATTACTGATACTCTGTTCTAAAGACATTACATACAACCAAAACAATCTGTCCTGGACATGCAAAGTAGAAAACCATGAGGCGTTTAAGTTGTGGTCCAACAAAAGATGAAAATAGGACAAAGAAACTTCCTGAATATGTTTGAAGACCATTGAGAATATTAAATCAAACACCTTAAACTACACATTTCCAACCCTGTTTTCCAAATTTCTTACCGGCTTACCACCTAGCAAATCAGGCTACTATGCATAATCTACTTCCAACTTGAAAGCAAATGCAAGCAGCTTGCACAGTAGATATACAGAAGGAGCAANAAATTTCTTACCGGCTTACCACCTAGCAAATCAGGCTACTATGCATAATCTACTTCCGACTTGAAAGCAAATGCAAGCAGCTTGCACAGTAGATATACAGAAGGAGCATATGATAATTTACCAAACTCAAAAGAGATAGTAGCAAATGAACAGTCAATCCATTATCGAAAAATCACTCCTCAGTACTTCAGATTGATTTCACATCATCATCATACACCACGGAGAGCTTCAAAATCAAAGGATTACCAAGGTGAAGGAGAAAAAAACAAAACTAGACTATGTAACCAACGTACTGCTACATTTTTTAAGAGGTAGTGAGCTTATACCAAGCTTAAATAAATAGCATGACAAGAAGTTTCTGGACATTACTCATAAATCATGTTCAAGCCTCAAAGAGTCAATATATGTTGTATTACAGCAATAAAAGAGGTATGTAGCAATACATAATGGGAAGTATTCAAATCAGTGTTATTTAAGGCGTAAAGTGAACCGAAACGACCAAGGCTCCTAACGCCTAGGCGAGAAGCGAGAAGCGAAGCGACACGCTTTACCGAAGCAAAGCGAACAGTTAAAAAAAATATATATTTTAGTTTAATTACTTCTAAACAATCTAAGTTCTAATTTTATATATACTAAATATTTAAATGCAAGTAAAACCATAAACATTTAAATTAAAACAAACACTAATAATATCTCAAATCTTAATAACAGTCATAACTTAAACATTTAAATTCAAACAAATACTAACAATTGTATACATTTTCATATTGACAGGGTAGGACAACAAAAGAAGCAGAATCAGGACAACAACAGAATTAGCAACAACAAAAAAAAGCAGAATAAGGATAAAAAAAAACAAAAGCAACACAGGACAGCAAAACCGAAGCAGCAGCAGAATCAAAAAAAAAAATAGAAGCAGAATGAGCTAAAAAAAAAACAGAAGCACAATGATCATGACAGGAGCAGAATCAATTGTAAACAATTTCATATGTAATTATATACTGAATAAAAAAAGGGTTAATCTCATTTTGCACCTCGAAAGATTGTTCAAATCTCAATTTGCACCCTCAAAGATCAAAAATCTCAATTTACACCCTCAAAGATAGAAATTTGTATCAATGTGCACCCCCAAAGATCAAAAATCTCAATTTGCACCCTCAAAGATAGAAATTTGTATCAATGTGCACCTAAAATTAAATTAATAAATTATACCTTGATCCCCTCATGTTTGTCACTTAATCATTTGAACTCCTTCACATTTAGAATATTCCCCTTACATCTCATGACGTTTATGCATGTATAACACATAACCACTTTTTGTTGATATATATTAATATAATCGTTAAAAAACATGATTTTATCCTAATATAAACTTAATTTTATATTACCTTTTATTTTGTGGATTCGATATACTCTAAAGTTAAAAATCAAGCTTACCATTTGAATGTCTAATAAAATGTAGATATTTATATAAAAGGTAATATGAAAAATATTATATAAATATTTATATTTTATTAGACATTCAAATGGTAAACTAGATTTTGAACTTTATAGTATATTGAACCTATAAAATAAAGGGTAATATGAAATTATAATTTTTTATTAGGATAAAATTATATTTTTTAACGGTTATATTAATAGATATCAATGAAAATGGGTTACGTGTTATACGTGCACAAATGTCATAAGATGTAGGAGTAATATTCTAAATGTGAAGAGGTCTAAATGATTAACTGACAAATATGAGGGGATTTAGGTATAATTTATCAATTTAATTTTAGGTGCACATTGATACAAATTTCTATCTTTGAGGGTACAAATTGAGATTTTTTATCTTTGGGGTATACATTGATATAAATTTCTATCTTTGAGGGTGCAAATTGAGATTTTTGATCTTTAGAGGTGCACATTGATACAAATTTCTATCTTTGAAGGTGTAAAATGAGATTTTTTATCTTTGAGGGTGTAAATTGAGGTTCGAACAATCTTTCGGGGTGCAAAATGAGATTAACCCATAAAAAAAAGCAGAACAGAGGCACATTTCACATGTACTAAAATAATTAAACATGGTATAAGTATAGACCACTTTTTGGTACCATTTGTATATATATAAGAAAAGGAAAAAGTATAATCAAGACATATCAGAGACACTTCTTTGTAGAAGAATCTATTATTTACCCTCATTCCTGATACTCCTCCTTCCTTTTTTTATCATAATTGTCATGCAGTCGCCTGACTCTCACATCCCATAAATATTCTAAATGAATTCAGCAACACAAGATAAAAAAAGGAACGTGTTTTGTTCGAAACATTGTTTATTAGAAAAAAAAAAAATAGACCAGCAATAGTATAAAAAAAAAAGTCATTAGTGATTAAAAAATAAAAGAGACTACTAACCTGTAATTAGAAAAAAAAAAAAAAAAAGTGAAGCAGAATCGCCTTTTATAATAAAGCGTTCGCTTTTTCGCTTCTTCGCTTTTTCTCGCTTTTTTCTCACTTCGCTCACGTTCGCTTCGCCTGGGGTCCTCTAGGCGAGATAAGCTCGCCTCGCCTCGCTTCTCGCCTAGGCGAGCTTTTCAAAACACTGATTCAAATACCAACATTCAGCAACAAACTAAGGTAACCCTCTTTATTCTGTCATGTCTGACGGCAGTCTAGAAGTTAGCTTGTAATACCAAACGTTCTTTTTCTTCCCAAAAAAGTTGAGACATTACATTCCAAAAGATATTACCACTCCTTCCCTGCAATAACCATTCATGTTATGAATGATCAACATCAAGAGAGCTAAAAACCTATTTNTATACTCAGTAATGCTGGAAGAACTATTTTAAATAGCTCCAAATTGCACCAGCATATTTTTTCACATAATCCATGTTTTGATGACGAAATTTTGCACAAAAATGTATAGAAATAGATAAATTAACCAGAACACCTTAAATGTGTACAAAAACTACACCGCAGCGCCTAAAATATGTGATGTATTAGTCACTGGCCAATGCATCCTACTTCGCCTAAACAAGAGATGACATCCAACAAAAACTGATTCTGCTGTGGCATTATACACAAGGAAAGATATAAGTGCTCCTACAAACACTCAAAGCAGCGAGGGCCAAACACTAATAATCCAAACAAGAGCCATAGAAAATACTCCCAATTAAGACAGCATGCTTAGGGTAGCTAATTCCAACTTCCAATCCAATTCAATACTAAAAATTAGACCATAGGCAACGCACAATCGTCCACTTTGAACATACTTAGCACCCCAAATACCCATTAAGGTGCCAAAACCTACTAACTTTAATCTTACCAGTACTTAGCCCCAGTTATTTGGAGTCCTTAATGTACCAATCAAAATTAATTAACCCCACACCTTATTTGCTACGTTCAATTGCATAAATCAAAGTAGCCTTAGTAGACAAAAGAAATGGCACCCAATGTAAGATACACGGATAACAACTTATACAATGCTCAGATAGACACTTTTATTTCCAAATAGGAAATATAGGCACGAAAACAGAATACTTGAAATTAAAGGGGAAAATAGATGAAACAATCTTACATAAAGAAAAGGAACTGGATACATTCCCATTAAGTGAAATAAGCTGACGNCTTCATTCAAATAGGAAATATAGGCACGAAAACAGAATACTTGAAATTAAAGGGGAAAATAGATGAAACAATCTTACATAAAGAAAAGGAACTGGATACATTCCCATTAAGTGAAATAAGCTGACGACCGGGGGTGTATNGATGAAACAATCTTACATAAAGAAAAGGAACTGGATACATTCCCATTAAGTGAAATAAGCTGACGACCGGGGGTGTATGATTTTCCTTCAATTCAATCTCACAATGAACATAAATATGTAAATTTGTGCTTTTATGCTTCCACTATTTTTCTTCATCACTTTCACGTCAACCAAACAGCATTAATAATAAAGTCAAGCTTTCACGTGTAAATAACTTAGCAAATCATCAGCTCACAGACAGCGAAAAACCCAAACATTAAAAAAAAAGGCCGTACTTCGAAGCCAAAACCTAATTTCAACAAGATAAGAGGCTCACCATACAACAGAACAATTGAAATAGAGATCATATATCGACATAAAAACTTCAAAATTCGTAATACCTGGAAAGAATTTGGCGATCGAGCTCCATCCTCAAAGGAAAAGCCGAGCCGTAAGTGTTCACAAGGATCTTCCTCTTCATATCCTCTTGCCTCATCCTTGTCTGATCAAACAATATATAAACGTAGACATACACACTTTGCACATACGCATCCATAGCCATATATGATTATAGAGAAATTGGGGTTCAGAGAGAGAGAGAGAGTACCGATTGATATTCAGATTCGAGGGGATGAGATCCAACGATGTCGCTCTTTACGCCATGAAGTCCAAATCGAAGTGCATCATTTTTCACCCCTCCGATTTCGTGCTCTATTGTCTTCGGGGATTCCATTCTCTCTCTTCTTCTTCTTCTTCTTCTTCTTCGATTCACCGTGAGACAGACAGACACCAGGTTTATTGAAGAAAACTTTGTGCACAAGCAATATGGCCGTCGAGTGCAGAGAGCAGAGCCCATGTTGCCAAGTTTAATGGGCCTTGTAGCCCAATGGGTTGTCAAGTGCATCATGTAAATGTTTCTTTGCTGGGAAAGTCTGTGACTCGTTCGAACTTAAGTCCATCAAATAAACTTATTTGTTATGAAATTTATTTTTTGTTAATTTTATCAGATTATTCATTCCTTTTAAAAATGAGGTAAAATTAAAAATTAAAAACTCTTAAATTTTATGAGTTTGAGTAACATTAATTTTTTTTTCTCTCATATTTATCTATATTCATATGTAAATTAGGACTATATATATATATATATATTAACATAAAAAATAAGAAATAGTAACATTCAATTACAAAAAAAAGTTATTATTTAAATACAAAAAATAATACTATTTAAACACAAAAAAATAATAACATTTAAACATAAAAAAATAATAACATTTAATATTAATATTTTTTAAAAAATAACAATAGTAAAATGTTCAACAAAAATAGTAATATGTTTAACAAAAACAGTAACATATTTAACAAAAAAAAATAGGAATATAGAACATTAAACAAAATTGAAAACAAAAATAGTAGCATTCAAACCTATAATCATGGGAAAAAGTCTCCAATTCTTTNTTAAAAAATAACAATAGTAAAATGTTCAACAAAAATAGTAATATGTTTAACAAAAACAGTAACATATTTAACAAAAAAAAAAATAGGAATATAGAACATTAAACAAAAATAGTAGCATTCAAACCTATAATCATGGGAAAAAGTCTCCAATTCTTTAGCATCCAAAAAAGTAACTGAAAAAATAATAACATGCTCAAAAAATAATAACATGGTCAACAAAAAATGTAATTACATGAAACATTAAAAAAATTTGAAAATTATTTATCAAAAAATAAAAATAAAATTGGGGATCAAACTAATAACACATTGAGCAAGTTTTTCAACATTTTTTTCTAAAAATAAATGACATAGAAATTCGTGATGACNCCAATAACACATTGAGTAAGTTTTTCAACATTTTTTTCTAAAAATAAATGACATAGAAATTCGTGATGACTAGAGTACAGTAAAAGATATGGTAGTCGTTAATGATGTTTCAAACCCTACTAATTTTGATGCTATGGAGGAAGAAATTATATTNTCTAAAAATAAATGACATAGAAATTCGTGATGACTAGAGTACAGTAAAAGATATGGTAGTTGTTAATGATGTTTCAAACCCTACTAATTTTGATGCTATGGAGGAAGAAATTATATTTAAAGAGAAAAATTTGTTGTATTGGAATGATGATCTTCTTCTAACAAGAGAAAAAAAGAGGGGAAGAGAATATAAATATAAATTTTAATTTAGGAGTGAATTAAGGGATAATAATTTCTAATTTAAGAAATTAATTTAAAGCTATTTCAAGGTATTTAAGGTGTCTATAATTAAACAGAATAACACTATTAAAGTTATTTTTGAAATTAAAAAAATAGTGAACTTGAATACTTATTAGTATGATAAAAAATGGACTTATCACCAAATAAATTTGTTTGACAGACTTGAGTCATTATAAATCCATTAAGGAGAACTCAACTTCAATTTTCACTTCTTTTCCATATCAAAACAGAATTTTTACTAANGCTATTTCAAGGTATTTAAGGTGTCTATAATTAAACAGAATAACACTATTAAAGATATTTTTGAAATTAAAAAAATAGTGAACTTGAATACTTATTAGTATGATAAAAAATGGACTTATCACCAAATAAATTTGTTTGACAGACTTGAGTCGTTATAAATCCATTAAGGAGAACTCAACTTCAATTTTCACTTCTTTTCCATATCAAAACAGAATTTTTACTAAATGGGCTTGCCCTGGTGTTCAAATACGTTATTCTAAGAAATTTACAAATCAAAAAAATTAAAAAAAANCATTATAAATCCATTAAGGAGAACTCAACTTCAATTTTCACTTCTTTTCCAGATCAAAACAGAATTTTTACTAAATGGGCTTGCCCTGGTGTTCAAATACGTTATTCTAAGAAATTTACAAATCAAAAAAATTAAAAAAAAAATCTAAAAAATTTTAGATTATTGCCAAACAACATTTTTATTAGAAAGATCAATAATCAAGCTTATCATCAAAAAAAAAAAATTCAAATTATACATAACAAAATTTGTCTTTAATACATTTTTTTGAGACATTTAGACTTTTAGTGTTTATATTTTATTTTATTTTTAAGCTGGGATGATTTTATAGTGTTTTTTTAGTTTGGTTTGATTTTGCAGTTTACCATACCTATTTTGGTGTTTTTTTTTTTTTGGTCTACAGGGTGTTTAGGCTTGCGTCAACTACTCCCTCGAACTCAGTGGTTAGCCACTATAACTTTAGCTAACTTTAAAGCATATCCCTAAAGGGATAAGAGTGACTAATCCTTAAGAAATGTTAAANTGGTCTACAGGGTGTTTAGGCTTGCGTCAACTATTCCCTCGAAGTCAATGGTTAGCCACTATAACTTTAGTTGACTTTAAAGCATATCCCTAAAGGGATAAGAGTGACTAATCCTTAAGAAATGTTAAAAAAAATTAAACCTGAAACTTTTAAATTATCAAATATCAATTTCAACAACGGAACCACCTCTTAAAAATTTTGGTGGGTTTTGTTGAGGAATTGATCCTCGTAGGATTGATTAATAAGTTATTATCTTTAATATTTTGTATGGAAATGGGTTCGAAGGTACCAACGGCATTTTAGTGCTTTGTCATCAACATGTAGTGAGTATGATTTTTTATTTTTATTTTGAGCGTGTTTTGTGGATCCACTTTTTTATATCATCTTATTTTACTTATTGTATAATTATGGATTAATGTGTGAATTCTCTATTTGATGTCATACTAATTTTAAAATTGTGTCACTTTTTTATTATGATTGACAATTTTTAAAATTATGTCACAATTTGATGTTACATTATTTTTAAAATTATATCACTCTTTAATGTCACACTATTTTTTAATTATGTTACTTTTTAATGTGCTAACTTATCTTTGAACAGTTTTAACTTATCCAAAAAAAGGGGTAACTTATCCCTTTAGAGCATCTCTAACCATGACTTAAATTTTTACTCAAATTTAAATTAATATTTGAGTAAAAAACTTAATTTGATATAAAAGACTCCGATGGACAAACT